GAGAAATCAGGAAATACTAGAAGTCTATAGAGCTTTTAATACGCCGACTTCTATTCTTAAGGATTTGTCGAGAGATTACGATGGATTTGGCAACTAATGCTAGTAATAGTGTATGCCGTTTTCAAGCTAAGGCTCTACTTTGCTTGCAGGAAGCAACGGAAGCTTTTCTTATATAGGAGTTCGAAGTCTCTAATATACTAGCGATTTACGCAAAACGGGTAACCTTATAACAGAAGGACATGAAACTTTGTCGCTAGATTCGGAAGCGCTTCGCAGGAGAAGCGAATTCAAGTGCCGAGCTTTGATCTTACAGCAATTCGCCGACTACGTCTGCCGACTATGCACTCCTAATATCGTTTTCGAGGCTAGTACTTGAAGAATTAGTACTAGATGTATAAGATAACCCGAAAACGAGCTTCCGTAAGATGTTGTCTCCCGTACTAATTATATCTATATAAATCTCTAGGTCTCTTGTTCATAGGCTAGGCACTGCTTATACGGTCGTTATATTAATATTTCCTATTTCCGGCGATCTCACTTTACTATTTCTCACTTCTATTGTCCAAAAACGGCAGGTGCCTACCCTACGTAGACAAAGAATCCCTCGCTTCTGATTGGTCGCGCCCCTGGACCCTGAATTCCGCCGCCTTCAAAGGTATTCCCTACTTCCAAAAAAACCTAACTTGCGACATCAACATTGGTTATTGACCCCCCCCCTCCCGCCCCGCCCCCTACCCGCTACAACCCCTCCTAGCCTCCGCCTACTGCTCTGCCTACTGCTCTGCCTACTACTCTGCCTACTGCTCTACCTACTACACCGCCTACTGCTACTATCGTTATAGCGCCGTTACTCGCAGCGCGCCGCAAGCTTTCAATCGCCAGAAAGGTACTACGAACATCTAGAAAGAGACTCCCTAGCGCAACAGGTAGGAAAGGGCTTCTATCCGCAGGTATGAAGAAAAATCAAAAAAAGAGAGGCAGTAAGTATACCTAGTCGGCAGACGTAGTCGGCACATATGGTCGGCATATACTAACATTTCTTTTAGAGGGAGCTTTGTAGGAGATCAAAAAATGCTAGACGGAGGTTATAAACTATATCCTAAAGCTCGCGTTCGTACGTATCGTTAGGGATACTATTATCCTTTTTACCGAAGACTACCTCCCTATATGGATCCAAGCGAGCGTACTCGGCATCCTCTAGGAACAGTGCGAGAGTATAGTAACGAAAGTCTTTTCGTTAGCTAATCTTCTCGCTATCTACTACAAGCGAGTTATAGTAATAGCGAAAGATCTCGAATGTCTTCGTAGGCTGCTAAAGGAGTAGAATATCTAGCTAGACAATTACATAGTTGCTCCCTATAGCTCTAGCCTAGTTAACCCGAGTACGATGTATAAGCCTCGATTAAAGACGAAGAAGACGAAATCGAAGCCAACTCCAAAGAAGCCGACTACGAAGAAGAGAAAGAAGACTCCCGCGTCCTTAAGCGAAGACGAGAGCTCAGATAATCCCGATAACCCTAGCGCTCAAACGGGTACTTAAACCGGTACTAGTAGCCAGACAGACGCTAACAATCAAGATCCTCCTAGCACCGATCAGGATAATAGCGACACCGGTGGCCAGACAGACGGGAACAATCAAGATCCTCCTAGTACCGATTAGGATAATAGCGACACCGGTAGCCAGACAGACGGGAACAATCAAGATCCTCCTAGTACCGATTAGGATAATAGCGATACCGGTAGCCAGACAGACGGTAACAATCAAGATCCTCCTAGCACCGATTAGGATAATGCAGATACTAGTAGCTAGACAGACGGGAACGATTAAGATCCTCCTAGCGCCGATTAGGATAATACAGATACTAGTAGCTAGACAGACGGGAACGATCAAGATCCTCCTAGCGCCGATTAGAATAATAGGGGTTTGAACGATTCAGACGGTAAGAAGCAGGCGACTATCGTGATTTCGAGCGGTAATAAGAGCTCGGAATACGATCCAGATACTGATCCTAGCGTTCAAACTGGTTATCCTCCAGCTAATAAGGAGAATGCTTAGGACGATAATACGGTACCCCTAACGATAGAGGATAAATATCTCCAGGCTCTCCTCGATTATATTAATGCCTAAGAAGAAGAAGACGAGGAGATAGCTTCCGAGAATTCAGATTTTCCTTTTAGGTAACTAGGTATACCGCTTAGTCAAGCAGATTTTCAGTATAGCGACGAGGATATAGGTACCTAGGATCAAGATATCTCGCTTAGCTAAGACTACAATCCTTTCGATCATCTAGATTTGGAGGAGACGGGTCCTAATTCTCTCTAGGAGAGTCGACCAGATATAGAGAGAGAGGATAAAGAAGAGGAGTCGCAGTAGGAGTTTGACGAGGAGATAACAGAATTAGAGGATATAGCAAGGGCAGCGTATACAGTAGCTATAGATCAAGCGAATAATCGGGGTACGTAAGAATTCGTAGCTAGGGGAAGTATCGACAAGATACTAAGTATACTTGTAGAAGAGCCTATTACCGAACGAGACAGACTGGAGACAGAAATTTCAGCTCGCTTTATCCTTGGAGCTACTTGTTTAAGGACCCTATTATTAATAAGGACGGAGCCGGCTTTCCAAGCGGCCTAGCGAAGAATAGAGATACGTAAGGCCTAGAGAGTAA